AAGTTGGCATCATCAATGATATGTAGTGGAGGACTTCCTGTCAGATTTGCGGCCTCCCCAGTCTTTGACTAAGATCCAAAAATTCTAGATTTTAGCAGGGAAATCTAGCTTTTGGGGCTCTAAATTGAAACTGGAGGACCTGCAGATTTTGACAGGGAGCACTCCAGTGTCTGGTTTGAATATTTCAATTTCTTCCATGAGTTTTCCTTTTTGTAATTGGCTTGTGAAGATGTAGTTCCCCAAGAGAAACAGTGATTCCACATGTTGCAACTTTATATCTGGATCTTCTTCACCTTTGCATTTGAAATATATGAATGCTTCTTGGAGCAACACTGGGTCTCTACTTGACGCTGCGCTATCTGAATTATCTCAGTAATGTAGTGCACTTGATTCCTTCCCTGACACATTAACATTATCTGTAGTGGTAAATTTTTCTTTCAGCTAGTAGTGTAATGGTGAAGTTTTTGTGTGTAATGAATTGATAAAGTAATGCATTATTAGATTATCCAGATGTTGATCAGCAACCCTAAACACATTTTAAGTGGCAAAAAGCCTCTCTTTTTGAGCTTTGGCAGCAACACATGCCATGAATGTCCAGAAAATATCACATGTCTTGCCAATATTTATGTTTTTTTTTTCAAAAAAAAAAAATACAAGTTGCTGATAGTGTAATGAGCATGAAAAAAAATCCAAGGCAAAATGGATAATGTAATGTGCAAAAAATTTCCGAATATTATAGGGAAAGTAATGATAATGAGTGGAAATTCACTACTTTATCTTTACACTACCATTACGGGTAATGTAACTACCCAGTGTTGCTTGGAGATACTCCCAAATGGGAACCACTTTAGATGCAATTTTTCCTTTTATTTCAGTGATTCTAGCAGTAGCTCTTGGCATCTTCCAAGGTTCAGAAATTCTTTTGATCTATGTGGCTGTCTTTCAAAGAGAATCTGAATGAGTATTTGAAGCATCATCATTGAATTGAATAGAGTCTTCACAGGTGATGTGTTGATATAATCATGAAGTTCTTCTAGATGGTTGCCTGATCATTTGATTCTTGCAGTTCATGCTGGTTGAGCACATCAATCTGTTAATGGATGTCCTCAATTTCAGACTGATGAATTGCATCTGAGATAATGGAATATTTAATTCTACATCCAAGGTCAGAGAAGCTGATGGAAAATAAAACAAGTTGAAGATTCACTATTTACTTCAAATGGTTTCACATGGCTTCTACCTAGCTCAATTGGACCAAACTGGTGTTGGCCAAATGATTTTGAGACTGGTAAATATGAGAAAATTGAGTGTGTTGTGATAAATTTGATGTTCAAGTGTGTACATTGGGCAGAAAAACTGTAAAATTCAACTCAGGAAATCCAACCAACTTCCAATAGAAAAAAAAAACAAATCAAACCATGTGGTGCTTCATTTTGAACAAACCCTTCATACCCTCCATTGCATAACAGTATCTGATTTAATTGCAAAGCACCAATAGTAATGAATGAAAATGGAATTTTTGAGATAAGTTCATCATGAAGGCAGAATTGGGAGTATACGTGATCAAGAGATGAAGAATCTGTTTTTTTTGGGAAGTTGGATTTGTTCTTTGATGTGAAGAACTAAGATTTTTTTATCCCTGCAGAACTGATTGTAGGCCTTACTTCATGATTGTATTAGTAATGCCTAAGGTCAAGGAGAATTGATTTTAAAAAATAAAAAAGGGCAGAAAATATGCAAAGGGTCACAATATGATTTACAAATCCTCCAAATGAGGATTTTCAAACTTAATTTATTGTTATCACCTTTGCGTAAAGCACAACAATTGTATACCAGCTCAAAGGTACTGGTTTTTGGTTTCATTAGCTGTATGATATACCAGATGAACAGCACTCCAAACTTGCCGCATCCTATGTGTATGCACAACTAAAATTGAAACCAATACATACTATAAAATACAGGGCTGTATCCAAACAGAGATGGGATTGCATTTTTTTAATTGGACTGTCTTGGTGACCAAATCCCAAAAGTTCAATTCATTTATACAGCAATAGAACACTTCATTTATGAAGGATCCATGATGATCAACATCATAAAGGTGGTCCTCACCAACACAAACTTGTCTTTGATTTTTTCTTTTATTGGTATGATAAAGATACTTATAATCAACAATGGGCCAATTTCACTAACAGTAGTGTTAGTGTGGCATAATGTAGCAGAATTCTGCTAAAATGTAGTGTATTCCAGCAGCATTCTGCTGCATCTGTGCTAACACTAGCCTGCGGGATTTTGGACCTGTAGCAGCCGTTAGAGGCCCATATAAGCTCTTGAAAAACCAGCCAAGATTGTGCTAACACTACCTGATTTCCACACACAAAAACACAGCTATCCTCACGCTTTTTTTGGGAAAAACAAAACATAACACAGCACAGCAGCCCATTTTTGTTATGATTCGAGTCTCTAGATAACACGTGTGTGATGGTGAATTATGAGT